TCTCTCTCTCTCTCTCTCTCTCTCTCTCTCTCTCTCTCTCTCTCTCTCTCTCTCTCTCTCTCTCTCTCTCTCTCTCTCTCTCTCTCTCTACCGTGGTAACGGCGTGTATACATACATCACGGCCAGTTTTTTTTTTGCGCATCAGCGATCACTGCACCGCACTGTGCAGCGCACCTCACCTGTGCGCCGCAAGTATGATAAACGGGCAATATAATCGAAGATGTGAGATTCCCCACGTTCGTGTGATTGAGCGGGAAGTGCCCACACACCCGTCTGCCGCGGAAACGGCACACTTGAGTGTGTGTGTGTGTGCGTGTGTGTGTGTGTGTGTGTGTGTGTGTGTGTGTGTGTGTGTGTGTGTGTGTGTGTGTGTGTGTGTGTTCTCATGTCCGCTATAACAGCCATTTCATGAAAATGCATGGGTCCTGGGGACCATCTCACGCAGATGTGTGCATGTCATGCATCATCTTCACACGCAGTGATCAATAGTCTCAACCATAGACAAAGGTAGAGAAGAAGAGGACCGAGTTTCACAGCTTATATTATCAGAAATATGATTACAAAGTGTTTCAAAGTTCCCCTGAGTCCAGCGCTCATCAGCGCAACACAAATCTCTGTTCAACTCATCAATATGACTTCCAAGGCATCAGCGCTACCCCTGCAGATTGTCTCCCAGTCGTCAATATGGTCACAACTCATCAGCGCCACCTCTGCAGTTCACAACCAACTCAGGTAAGTGTCTCCCATAGCCAAACCTTGAATGAACACTCTATATCTCAGTCCCTTCCTCTTACGATGCATACACATTCTCTACTCATGAGGATCTACTCTGAATACKACTCATAGCTACAYAYTAACCCTCTACTACTAATGCTAACTCGCTGGGCAGCTATGGCTGCGTCATATCCAGCGTACAGGATTCTTCCCCCACTCAGCGCATCTTCTACCTCCAGCGCTGTGCCTCCTGACTCAGCACACAAGTGCACCAGCACTTCCACGCATTGCAGCCAGTGGAGATCTGGCGAGGAATGAGGCAGGCAGCTCCCTTTATAGTGCTGACCACTCCTCGCTGGGTCTGCATTGGCTCAATTCGGCCTTTCCTTTGTCCCAGACCCTGCATTGCATGTGTCCCAGTAGAGTCCCAATGAAGTTCAACTGCTGCTGAGGCCTCTCGGCCTGTATTTGGACTTGAAAGTCTGGATCTGGACTGACCCCTTGACTTAGACCAGAACTGGGACTGTGCCTATTGACTTTACTTTCGGACAGGCACAACTCTCAACGAACAGACACATTTACTGCTTGAACAGACACTTTCCTTTGCACGAACAGGTACACTGCCTGCACGTACAGACACACTGTTACCTGAACAGACATGACATACACATCTCCTGGTGAACAGGTAAGTCTTTTGACAATGCCCTTTGCCTTAGATTTAGATGTGCCTATTGATAGAGAACTTGACCTTTGACCTGCTTTCACGTTTCTGAGCCCTGGCGAGATACCTTTTCACAATGCTTTACTTTTACAAGACCCGTGCTGCTTTACTTTTACAAGGCCTGAGGCCTACATCGGGTAAAGGCCCTTTTAAAAATTCAAAATTGACTTTTTTTGTTTATAACTTTTAACTTTTTGAACAAAATTGAAACCTACTTCTTTGTCCCTAAGAATGTCACCATCTTAAAACACCGGACCCCCTTGGATGTATCTGGACTTCGTCTAAGTCCTGCCCGGGTCAGTGACATTGCGACTTGACATTGTATGAGCAGCGACATTGGGGATTCATTGGAGACTGGGTTCATCGGGCTATGGTGGCGGATCCTCCCTATCTCCTCCTCCCTTCGTCTCTTCTCCCCCACTTCGTCCGTGTATGGTTTTCGGACTCAGCAGATCTCCTATGTTTGCAGCACTGAGTACATTTCACACCCGTGTGATGATGATGGTCGTCAGGTCCTGTCATTGTCCATGCTGAGTAGATCTTGGTATTTCAGTCTTCCACTGCGTTATTTTTGTTTCATCTCTGAGAGTTTGGTTCTTGGTTCTGATATATGCCATTAGGCATGCGACACTGCATGATGCATGCAGCATGCCGCGGCCGTTCAGTAGTGCTATGCAAGAGCATGGAAAACATATCCACAATCGGTGCATTAAATCCAGGTCCATAACAGCATAATGACAAAACCACCCGGAAAACAGAACTTCTGTAGAAAGAAAAGGAGATGTATCACCCGGTAATCCTAGCGGGGCCCTGCTGTCGTTCTTGATGGTGTTCCTGCAGGTGTGCGCCGGTACGCGATGCCCATGATTTGGCCATAAGCCATAATTGGCCTTTCATGCTCGGTGGCGTCGCTGCTCTCGGCAGTTGGCGTATTCAGTGCCGGGCCAAGGACGTCCATGGCAGGCATTGTTGGGTGAGCAGCTTGAATATCCACTTAGATTGGAGGGCTTTGGTCTGCTGAACGGGGTCAAGACCTGGAGGGAGATCTTCCCGGCAAAAGTCCGCAGACTGACAAACTAGGAGGAAGTACTCCGCCAGCCTCTTTTCTGCAACCAATGGCTGACGGACTGGACGGATAAACCATGGACACTGCAGACGCAAGATGGAAGATGGACATCTTGGGTGGAGCAAGGAGTATGGCAAATGAAGCACATTTGGAATGTGGACCACAGCAGATGGAAAACATATGCACATTGTCAACTCAGAGAACTGCTCAAGGGATGCCACAATATGCAGACAAATTCCGAAGCCATTCGGCTCCCGATACCACCGGACTGGCTGATGTTGCTCCAAACATCGGCAAAGTGGCCAGCCGGAGATTGGGCCACCTGGTCGGAGGAGTCCACACCGAAGGTCGCACTGTCCTTCATCAAGACTTCAGGCCCGGCAGGTGACTGGGCGTTATGGACCATACATGACATAACCCACCCAGGCCAGATGGTCAGCATAGTCGACAAGATGGTACGAGCACAAGTCACAGCTAGGCCGGCCGTGCTCCGCAAGGTTTGAGTCGTGGAAGACGACTCCTACAGTATCTATAGCCCAGCGACTCAGCTGAAAGACTTGGAATTCGACCCTGGAGAGTGGGCTTGGAAAACAGTAGGCACAGCATCCCGGATCGAGCGGTGAACAAGTCTATTGGACAATACCACTCGTCTGGGTTACCGGCTACGGAGAGGACATGTCCATACAGACCAGATACTCGTTCACAGATGGGAGAAGCACCTCCCGTGCAGCATGCACGGCCATACGACGCTCCCTTGGCAGTATCCACTCACTATTAGAAACACCCTCATCCGAAGAATGCAATGGCTCATCTACTACCACGCTCTCCCAGTGAGCAAATGGCTAAGCAGGTGGCGCAGCGCGGCAAGCAGAAGGGACTTCGACAACTGTTGTGCGATCTGCACAGAGGGCCTGCCCGAAGATCTGCCACATTGCTTGCTCTACTGCCAGAAAGCCAGACAGGTGTAGACCAGAAGGGAAGCCTGTGGGGTTCAGTCACCAGCACGCAGCTAACAGACAACCCCGTCACGCGTTTCATGGGTCTGGACGAGCCAGTGCTGACAGTGAAATGGCAATGAGTGCTCTTCCACAGACTCGGACCACTGACATTGTGGGCCATATGGAAGAGACGATGCACAGAAACCATAGACGGCCAACACATCTTGGAAGCGGAAGCATGGTAGACCCAACTCCTGCAGGCTGAGTACCAGGCAGACTTGTGTAAAGAGCTCAGGGGCATCAAGGACGACTCAACCGAAAAACAGGATATCATAACCAAAGAACCACAATGACAAACTGAGTTCAGGGAAGCTGGGAAACATCGAAGGAGATAAACCGACACTCAGATGGAGACTCGATGCTGAGCCTGGTCACCAACAGGATCAAGGAAGGGGAGCCCCGCAGGTAGTGGACCGGACTAGAGGTAGGTAGGGAATGAGGAAATGACAGGAGGGAAGAAGAGATGGGAAAGAGCAATGGGAGGGAGAGAGGGAGGGAGGGGAGGAAGGGAGGAAGGGAGGAAGGGAGGAAGGGAGGAAGGGAGGAAGGGAGGAAGGGAGCAAGGGAGGAAGGATAAGGAGAGGTAAGAAGGGAAAAGTAAGGAGGAGTGTTATGCAGAACTTTGCCTATTTGAGGAGCGGTCTTGGAGACTCGGGCACCGCGTAGACTTCCAGGTACACTTCCACGCCGCTGTCCAGCCTCTGGTGGTGCAGGAGGAGCCTGAAGATTTTCAGAACCATTGCTCACAGTTGTCGATGACACGGAGGGTGAGATAGCTGCCATCATAGCAGTGTTTAGGGATGCAATCTCCTTTTTGTGACGGTTGGTACTCACTGCAATCAAGTTCCAGCAAACAAACAAAAGAGAGGATTTGTGAGCAAGGGATGCCACCTAAACCACATTCCACAAAAAAGTTAAAGGAAGAGAAGCAGAGAAGTGAAAACATAAGAAACAGGCAAAAAAAAAAATTTGTAAACCACAAGGACATCAAGGGGGGAGAGAAAGAGAGAGAGAGAGAGAGAGAGAGAGAGAGAGAGAGAGAGAGAGAGAGAGAGAGAGAGAGAGAGAGAGAGAGAGAAAGAGAGAGGATACAGAAGTGTCCGCTTAGCAAACATGATGAAGTTGTGATCACCTTCCATCTCAGCCTTCAGCTGCTCGACTTGTTGAGATAGTCTGCGAATCAATTTCTCCTGCTCTTCTGAGCTCTCTACAACATAGTTGATTCTTGGCTACATGCAAAGAATGGCACATCGGAGAGAAAGCAAGCACACATAGAGATGAGAAATGTGAGAGAAAGAAAAGGAATGAGAGAAAGGCATTGATGTCCTGAACAGCCTTCTGCGGTAGATGCAGATAGTAGTCAGCGACTCTGTTTTGAATCCCAACAAGATTTGATCGATTCTACACATTTTACTTTTCAGTTTTCATTGGTTCCAGGACAGACAGTGATGGGATGCTGGACCCGGTTTCCAGTACCTGTGTTCTCCTGCAACTTATCTCATGGTTTTCTTAAAAGGGGCGCTGGACCCGGTTTCCAGCAGGTGATGCTGCCCACCAATAGATGGACCGGCCCGCTGACAAAGCCTCAATCCCGGTGGTTCTCTTACCACCACTGGGATAGAGGCCTTGCACAAGGGCCTTAAAAAAAAAAAAAAAAAGTTTTCATTGGTTGTAATGAAAGTCGTTGCAACTAGTTGGGCTCAGATCCAGCTGTGTGCCACCGATAGTGACTTTAGCTTTGAAGAGTCTAAACCATAGCTGCGGCGCACGACGGTGCGCCGGTTTGCGCATGAGTAGCACACGTAGCGCCGCGCACCGCACGGCGCACCGCGGCGCCCCGAACCGCAAAAATTAGGGGTCTGCCAAAAAACAAAATTCTTTGGTTTTCGTTACGAAGGCGGGCCCCCACCCCGGCAAAAATGACGGCTGGGGCGCGCGAGTCCAGAAACCGGTCGCGCCCCGCCTCCAAATTTTTTTTTGGGGGAAGGGCCTGCCGATTTCGAAATTTCGAAATCGGCAGACCCTTCCCCCAAAAACATTTTCGGACAAGCGGAACACCATTTGGATCTTGGAGCGGGCACCGAAGGTGGGAAGCAGCACGGGCAAGGGTGACGAAGGCGAGAAGCAGCGCGGGGGCGGGAGACAGACGAAGGAGGGAGGGAGGGACACGGCGGGACACCATCGCCGACATCAGCAGCAGGACACCATCAACTC